TTTTAACTAAAAGTCTGAGATAAGGTGAAGAGACAAACTCGCTAGCATAAATTTTAGAAAGTCCTAGCGTTTATTTGAAAAATGAAGCGATCTATTAGGTAAATGAATTCTTGAGCTTCTGAGCTTATAGCTCAAATTTTTATTCAATGGACAGATGTCCCTTACATATAAAAATGTTTCAATCAATCCAAATGTTTAACATAGAAACAGTGTGGTTATTTGATGTTATCAAGTCCTGAATAGACTTGATTTTGTTAAATTATTTATTCAAAGGACCGTTCTTATTAAGTCTGCAACAACCAGGATGTCGACACACGTTCAAGACCAGGATATGGAATCAGTGAAGTGACGCCATAAACTAATGAAAACTGATATCAGTGGATTAAATCAGAAAATCAAGAAAGATAAAGACGAAGGTCTGTGACTTAAACTTGATAGGAACGACTATTATGCGAACACAAAAAATGTTTAAATGGCTTACAAAGCATCATAGTCCTCTATTGCCGGCGGAAGAGTGTCAGAAGATGGAAAAACTGATCTCGAAACAAATGAATTATACCAAGAAATAACATTTTTGGAGGGAAGGTCAGCATCTATGATAGGATGTCCCTTTGTTGAACCCCACGATTGAATAATAAACGGTGCGGCCAACCAGCTACCCGAAGGAGGGAATCGGCTTTGGGAGGTGACTATCGCACAGGGCTTTTTATGATTATACCCATTATTATTATTATTCGAAATTTTTGTGAAGCCAAGAGCATGCAGAGTCAGCTGCTTGCCAGTGCATCCTATCGAGAGTTTCTGACGCTTTTTCACTGGAGAAGGTGGTCTACCACGACCTCGTTTAATTGGAAAGTTGAGAAGAAATCCATTACTGACATTTGACGTTAAATGAGAAGCAATGGCGTTTTGGGTTTCCGCTAGAGGATTTTTGTTTCCAATGTTAGAACCATTTGAAGGCTGATTTCGTTTGATTCTTCTATTGAGAATATGAGCCATAATATGGGCAATCAAACCATGTTCACGTGCAATTTGTTTACGACGTTGCCGATCGCAGAGACGTTGGGTATAAATCCCTACTTGAGCTAGTTTAAGAGCTACAATAGTAAATAGTTAAGGAAAAAATATGTATAATTAATTAATGCCATTAAACATGCCTGACTCCAGATCATCGTCAGTGCAAACAGGATTAATTCGGCAAAGCAAACTCTCAGCATCATTGTCGTAATCCTAAATAGTGAGAGAATATTAAGTCTCACTCGTTCAAAATCAT